ACTCTATTAGTAATATACTCCCTCCGTCTCACTACCAATGGGACAAGAGAGAGTAACACACAAATTAATAAAAAGTGGTTTATGTGGATGATATTGAATTGATAAAGTAAGAATAATTTAGAGCCACACAAACTTTACCAAATTTGGTATGAAACAATCTTAATGGGATAGATCGATAAGGTAAAATGGGACAATCATAGCGGGACGGAGGTAGTACATGTTATTTTTTCTTGTTGTTATTAGTTATATTAATAAAAATAAGTATCAATTATGGTAATGATTATTATTATTACTAAATGGAGTATTTATAACAAAAAAAAGTAGAATCAAGTCTTTATTTGGCAAATTTGGGGAGACTTTTAGAACAAATGCATATGAGGCGAAATACTTCCACTTAAAAGAAGTCTTTGGTCTTTTTCTCTCGATCAAGATATTGAATAAAAGTTGCTCCACACATCTTTCTCTATACAAAAGCAAGAGAAACCCATGCCAGTTTTCCCGCCCAAACAATCATCCAAAATATGGGTTGGGTCGGGTTTCTATTAAAAGCTCAACACTGCTTCAATAAATGCATATTAAATGCTATGTACTATAACTTGGACGGAAATGTACTTTGATTTAGTAGGTTGCGTGTTCTCTTAAAAAATCTTCTACTTTGATTCTGATCAGCGAATTAAATCAAAGATTTTATGTACCGCTTATTTTCCAATCACATCAACGTTAAAAGCTGCTAAAGTTGTTCTTTTACATTGGAACATTAAAAGTGGGTTAAAAGATGATGGTTGTTTTCTTATTATTTATATTTAAAAATCAATGGAATTGTCAAATCACACATTTATTATTCAGCACATGCCATATGTAGAAAATTACGGAGTACTACACACTTTGGCTCTTGGATATAAATACTGTGTATTCAACAAGTGAAGGAAACCCGTATCACTCTATTATAAATATGGAAGAGGTGCAAGTGGAATCTGACATCATTGTTGATCTTCATGGGTTCTGCAAGTGAGGGTTGAGATAATTCATCAGATACTAGCCAATTCTAAGGGTGTAGAGACGCTTGATGTTTTTTGAATGAGGTATGAAATGTGTTAATGTTTTGTGAGTGTAAAGCTAGGATACATGATAAACAACAAAAGATACTCTAAAAAAAAGATGATTTTTTTAAAGATGGTAACTGAAAGTTTATTTCAGAATACAATCCCACTAAACAATGTCTTTGAATGAAACAAAACACATTTGGTTTATCAAGTGTTATATAAATTTGTACTGCTATTTATTTGAAAATAAATCTTAAAAAGCAAAAAAACGTGATTTTTTATGACCAAGTAACTATTGGAATCAGTTAAAGAAAAATATTTTACAAACCACTAAAAATGGCAATACACAATATACTACTCCCTCCGTCCCATTTAAATCTTTATACTTTCCTTTTTGACACATCCCATTTACTCCTTTACATTTCATTTTTAGGCAACTCCTTTTAAATTAAATTTACTAACTACCCTTCACCGTCCCATTTAAATCTTTATACTTTCCTTTTTGACACGTCCCATTTACTCCTTTACATTTCCTTTTTAGGCAACTCCTTTTAAATTAAATTTACTAACTACCCTTCACTGTTCACCCATATTTTACATTTGAGTGGATAAAATTAATTTCCACAAAAATCAAAGGGCATGCAAGACATTGGTTTTTCTATTAATTGAGGTCCTAAAATACCGTGTCAAAAACAAACGTCAAATTCTATCCGGGACGGAGGGAGTACATATTACCATTGAGTTCCATACAAGTGTATTAAACAATACTATCCCGTCAAAAAAGTTAACAACAGATTTTTATGTGCAGGTAAATCAAATCAATGCAATTGCTGATATTAAAGGCCACAACTGATGATGATGATCAAAGCCAATATTAAGAAAAGGGGTGTTTATGTAGTTTAAAATACTCTTGGTGCCTGATAAAATCCAAAACAGTGGTTACTAACTTAGTGATGCATGTTATATATGTTACACAAGTATTCAAGATGTTTAAATAACCTCGGCCCATTTATGCTTAAATGAAAATGCCGTAGGTTGGAATGAAGTCAAAAATAAAAAAACATGTGTATGATGTGAGTATGTTTGTATATGTGTGTTTTTTGGTTCAAAAGATATCGGAGTAGTTATTTGCAATGTTTAAGCTTTTTGTATACAAAAAGACAAAAGGTTGTTTTTATATAAAGCCACTTTTATTATGCAAGGATTCCAGTATAAGTAACCTGAATAATATGAAACTAGAGGTTTTCTAATTTTTTAACAATAATCAACAAAATATTGTGTACGCAGGTAATTTTAACATTGTATGCTTTTCTCAATGCTCTCAAGCATCAACATTAGAGTTTTGTAGAAACGATAATAGAAAATGGAATTAAAAGAACATAATAATTTATATGAACTTGAAATACAAAAAAAAAAAGCAAAACAGAAAATGTTTTAAGCTGCAAAAAGGAACTTGGCACATTTTTAAGTTCAATATATATTGGCTCTATATCAGCGGCCCATGGGATGCACTATGAAATTCTATGTTTCGTAGGATCGTTAACAAAATTTGTTATCACTAACAAACTATTTTTTTGAACAAACGAATATATACACACACTGCTAAAACTGCTTTTCAAAAAAATAAATCAGTGTATGTTTAGAATCCTGATGCTAATTATGTGATTACAAAATGAGTATATATGTTAGTTTAAAATTCTGATTCTGATTATATGATTACAAACAGCTTCTATATATACGTCCTGCCATTAATTTAGAAGTAAAGATTTACTCAACTACGTAATTCTGTCCAAAATTTTCTTTTCAATATAATCAAGTTAAATTGTACATCCCAAATATAACCACTAAAAATATACGGAATATGAAGAAATCTGAACATAGAAGAGTTATGTATCAAAATCATGAAAATGATTGACCTGTGAAAACTTTCAAAAACGAAACACGGAAATGAAGGGTATAGAAGAGTTAAAATATTGTCTGAGATGAAAGGGATACCCAAATTAAGATAGGAGGGTAAACCATTTACTGAGATCCTTCGACATTCACTCTGCCACCGTGGGAAACGAATCCAATTACAAATAACACTAGCAACTGTTGTCAAACTGTTTACCGATTAAAACCCAATAACAACATCATTCAACCATGGGAGTAGCAACAAAGGCCAACACGCCGACCTACGCTTTGAGGTGTTGTCTGATAAAAGAGTGATTGTTTAAATGGGTGTACGGATAGATGGAAACGACTGGAGGCTAAGAGGAATTATATATAATATGTAGTTAGGTTTTGATGGTTTGGGTTCATTTAAGTGATTGGGAATAATGCCAATCATGTGTGGTTAGCTCATAATTTTATTACTCTGTTTTTAAATTTTAAACTTTCTTATTAATTTATTGGTAATTCAAAATTTAACTGTAATTTTTAATTGGGTTCTTATTTACGATTGTATTGGTTGAATGGTTTTATATTTTTATAATTTTATATTAGCATACTTTTTTAATACGTAGTATGTTTTTTTGTTAAATTGAAACCTGTCACCCTATTGACAAGAAAAAGTAACGACCTTTGAAGGTACCGAGACAAGCCGCTCTAATATTTTAGCCGATAAAACAAATTGTACTCTCTGTCCCTTAAAATTTTGTCTGATTTTTTCTTTTATTATTGTCCTACTAATTTTGTCGCTTTTTCTTTTAAGTAAAAAATTTGCGTTTCAATTAATTTTCTCTCATCTGCACAAATCTCAATGACACAATTGTTATTTTATTAATCCACGTGCCGGTCAAACTTGGTAATTTTTATAATGTTTAACGGACAGAAGGATTATTTGTCTGCACAGGCTTTGAGTGTCTATTCCTAATTATAATTCCTACATACACAGTATTACATTAATCACTCTTTAAATACAGTTACACATTCGATTTATGTTAACCTTTCTTTCACTACTAATGATAAAATCTAATTGATGTTTACAATATTAATTATAGAACTAATCAAAATATCAACGATCATATCATTAATTTTTTCCAGTGCATCACACGAGTGAAAATCTAGTGCATGACAATAATTTAGCACATTCTGTTAGTTTAACGTTAAAAATTGATAGAAGGACCGAATTAATATGGAGTATAAAGAATAATGATTAAAATGATATTTTGATTAGTTCTATAATTAAAATGATATGATCGTTGATATTGTAAGGATCATTTACATATTTTAGTCATTAACGTCAACATATAAATCATGATTTCACTTCGAGTCAAACCATCACTAGCTTTAGAAAAAATGAATTTTATCAATTCAGAACCCGAAAGATAGATGAATTATCAATTCGGGACCTGAAAGATGAGATCATCGATATAGGATCCGAATGATGAAAAACTATCGATGTAGTACTAAAATTTCATAGGTTTTGATTTATTTAATTTTTTATTAATTTTATTGCTATTTAAAAATTTTAAGATAAAAAAAATTAATAAAATTTTGGACAACTTAGGTCCTAAATTGTAAATTTCCAATAATTCAAGTCCTAAATTGATAGTTTTCCATCTTTCGAGCCCTATATCGATACATTTCATCTTTCAGATCCCAGTTTGATAATTCATCTATCTTTCGGATCCTGAATTGATAAAATTCCTAGAAAAATGACACATATAATAATTACTAGTACAGTTTACCTTGACAAAGGTATTACTCCGTACTATATACTCCCTCCGTTCTCTAATACTTGACCCTCTTGAAAAGTTCTTCATTCCTTCTCTTTTTGAAAAGTTTTGTGTGATTATCATTCATTTACTTTTTTCTTACTCAATCATAATCATACTTTTTTACTTTATTTCCACTTTCTTAAACCCTATACAAGTCAAATTGAGAAAAAACTTGGATCTTTCAAAAAAAAACTCTTTCATTTTTTACCCATGTTTTCTTTTGGGGGAAATGAGCCAACATCCTCTTTAAAAAGTGAGTTACTGGACTATTCCCGTTAATGGAGAGAGCAAAATCCAAGGTAGATATAGGCCATTTCCATTAAAAAATAGTATACGTTGTTTTCCCTGGAGTCCTCCATCTGCTTGCTGGTGATGGGGAGGCGGGTATTGGAGTTCCGAGCAATGGACGACGACGCTTGGTACAGCGTGAAGGTTGAGTTGAAAGGAGAGACTCTGTCGATCGAGTTCCATGGCGTTCAGGAAACCGTCATGTTCGCGGCTTCCAATTTTGAGTCGGAGAACGCCGTCGAACGCATCGTCAGAAGGTTTAGGGTTGTTTCTCCGCAGCTTCAGGTTCGCGAGTGTCCTAGAATCGAAAAAGGTTCCATTGTTTGCGCTGCTTGCCACACCTTCGGCGGGGACGACACGCGCTACTATGATGCCGTTGTCGAAGCAGTGAGTCACCTGCTCGCTCTAGAACACCTTTAATTTCGGTACTATATACGGATTATGAAATTTCTGTTTATTTCACTACTTATTTTATGTTTTGGTATATCAGCCCTTGCTTAGATCATTTCTAGTAGGTGTAATTAGTACCGCGTTTCATGGCGCTTGTGATTTTAGTTAAATTTGTTTTTGGAAGTTAATGTATAATCAACAGTCTTATGGAATGATAGAACCTGAAATTGTGCAAATGTCTAATGTGGATATGGATGTGTTGGTTTTTCAATCCCCAACGGCCCCTGCAGTAATTTACTACTCGTAAATTCTTGATAAGGATGTGTTGGTTTGAGGAGGTACTCATACTAATGAAGGGAAAACATGTCTTCTTTACAACTGTTGGTTTAAATGGTAATTGGATATTATTACGTATCTTCTTAGCTTGAAAATCAGTAGAAATATTTGTAGAGTAACCCTTTTGTATGGCAGACTGCAATATTAGCCTGGCCTGTTGTCAAACTTAATAATCTATTAATTTTGAGTACATAATAATTTTTGATGTAGAAGTACATAATAATTTTTGCATTCAATTTGGAGCCAAGACGTGATAATATGTTTCTTTAAGAGAAAAGTATCCCCTGTATGAGTAAAACAACATGTCTTTCCCAATATATGACTATTAGATTATTCCCAATATATGACTATTACGGAGTACTTATTATCTCACGTGCATGGTGATTCTTATGTTTTTTTATATTCCAGCAACTGCACTCTAGTCCTCTACATTAAGAATAGGAAGTATTTTGTTCTTCCTATCTAGTCGTGATATGCACAATTACTATCAATTAATTAGGGTGTCTATCAATTAGTATTCCTAAAAATAAGGATTGGTTTAATATGGTAACCGCTTGCTTACGAATTATTATGTACTCTGTAAAAAACGATTAGTACGTACTATTTATTGAGGGAACCTACTATATCTCTTCCTAATACCTACTATGCCAACACATTTGTAATTTCATTTACTGCTAAAGCTACTGCCTATGTCATTTACTGCCCTCCTACCCTCTTACACATTTACTTCCATTTTTTACTGCCTATTTCATTTATGGATCATAATATCATACTCCGTATATAGAATACAAGGATTTACCGATGACTAGAAATAATCCACCTATTGTCCTTAAGTTACTGGTTATGTCATTAACTGCCATCATACATATTTACTGCCATTTGTGTGTTGTCCTATTCAATGTGTTAGTTTGTTGCCCATTTCTTTACTGTCCTCTAATTTGTGCGTATCCTCACCCATCAGCATTTTCTCCCTCAATTATCGGTGTATGCTTCTCAAAACTTTACCCTTCTCTGTTGCAGTGTTTTTTAATTATAAGGGTATTATGGTTATTTCCCTAATTATACTACCCATGCAAAACATGCATTAGGAAAACATGAGACGCATAGTGATACGACACATGCAAAACATAGTTAGTCATACAATAAGAAAACACTTGTGTTTTAGTAATATCTAGGTACTTTAGCTAGAAAAATGAGATGAAAATTCATGAACCATGCATGTAAACTTAAATTGTTACAGCCAGTCAGTGGGGGAGCTTCTATTGTGAGAAATATATTTCCAGACCTAAAATAACATGGGAGAAAAAATAGAGAAGAATCTAGCACATCATATTGGTATGAGCAGTATCTTTGCTTTGAAATTCTAAAGTCCGAATTTTCATCTCATTTTTTCATTGGTGATTTTATATTTGTCAGGTGGACCGAGGAGACCATTCATTTGTGAAAGGAGAATGTTTATGCACCTTTGTGCTATCATGGCTTCTTGGTCCCAAATTAGGACTTTTAACCAATGCGAGTATTGCAAGCATATGTACAGTAAATGATGATGGCCAGGTTGATCCAATAATAGCTTCCTTCTCAAATTTGGCCAAAAGAAAAGTTTCAAATTCCTCTGGCAAGAACACCACCGTTTCTGCCAATGAAGGAGGATGGAATCAGTTGTTTATTGATGATAAGAGGAAACCTTCATTCCAGGCTAGATTTTCCAGTTTCACTTTGCTCAATTCAGAATCATTTTTTACATGCAGTTAGGAATTATGCTGTAAATAGTCAATAATCGTCTTCTCCACATTCTGCAGGACATTCAGAATCAATGGGAGTCAATTTATGGTAATGGTGAAAATTCAGGTTTGGTGCTGAATTCCAACCTTCATTTCAATTTCCTAGAACATGGTTTACAAAACTATTATTCCCTCCCTCCCAAATAACATTGTTTCAAGAACTCCTTTTGGTCCTAAAAGAGTATTTGCTGCCTCTTCGGTCTCCCCCCCCCCCCCCCCCCCCCTCTCTAAGATGTAGAAACCTTGAGCGACCTTAATTGTTATCAAGATCAAGATCTAGGTGGTGATTCTGGTGAACCATCAAACTGCTTTTTCATAGTAATTGGGAATATGGAGAGAAGCTTATCACCAGCATCAATACGGGAGTTCATAAACAGACATGCTTGTGTATCACCAGAAGTGTATGTTTTACCAAGTCCCATGCCAACACACTTTACAAGAGCTGTTCTTTTATTGGATACAAAGAAGAAGCACGACATGGTGTGCCAATTTCTCGACAGTCCTGATCATTTTGTAGTGTCCATGAGTGGAAGGTATGCCCTCTGGATTCCCACCTTTCTCTTGAAAGTACTACTGTACTACAGTGCTGTACATCACCATTTTTTAAGTCAGTAGCTTGGAAAGAACCCGAATGAAATTATATAGGCCGAGAGACTGAGGAACATCTTGCAGTGTGTAAACCTTGCTGATCTGGCCACAATTTAGCTATTAAACAAACTTGCTTATTCCATGAGATCTACCTCTCTGATTAGTTGTTTTTTGTTTTTTAGGCCATGGGTTTCAATTGAATGTGACACAAAGCTTGGAATAAATTGCAACTCATTTGGGAGCCTAGCCTGCAATCAGGTAAGCTCCAAAGCATTTATATATTTTTAACGTGAAGGGAATATGATTTGGTCTTTTACCTGAAGTATGAAACACACCTCTTGTACTCTAGTGCTAAATCTTCTTGTGCAGGAAAATAGGGATGATAGTTATTTGGATGGTGAAGTAGCGATGGTAGTTCATTCCGGTTCTGAAGCGTACAAACGTGCCAAGCGATTGAAGGATTTGTTTATGGACTTCTCTAACCATGAACAACTGCTCTTGAAGAGATTGATAGAGGAAGAGGCAAGGGTCTTGTAGTTGTGTGACCCGCCTTTCCGTTTCTTCCTCTCTATGTATATTGGGAATGTTGGTTGCTTTGTTACCATTTGTGCATATGTATGGGGGTACTTGATAATGATCTATCAATCATTTTTTGGCTAGGTTAGTTTCAACTGTTTTACTTTGTCAAACAACATTATTATGCTAGATAAATGGTTTAATATTTTATCTTGTTTTCATTAATAAATTCAAAATGAGAAACCACTCCGAATAGCTTTTTTTATGTTGGTATTTCAATTTCATGTTTGTACTCCCTCCGGTCCTTAATTAACTTTACACTTTCCTTTTTGAGTCATTCCATATTAAACTTTACACTTCCTTATTTGCCTTATTTGGCAAACAAATCTACACCAAACAGTGCAAAACAGTGCCAAACAATGACAAACAGTGTACTCTACAGTAAAGTCAAATTTATTTCCTTAATATGTGTGAAGTCAAAGTGTAAACTTCATTAAGAGGAGGGAGTAATAATTTTTATTCATACGAAACAACTACATCATTACTTAGTTGAAAGAGGTAAACTAAAAAACGGAATTGATTAGAAAAGGGAGTACAGAGATTGACCAAAAGCCCAAATTTAAAAAATGACTTAATTTTTAGTGTAAAAAAATTCGGGCAAAAAAATTTCCAAAAAATTTCTTTGTATCGGCCCAGTCTGGCCCAGTGTCCTGATTCCGTCCCTGCATACAATTGTTTGTCAAGAAGGATGATTAGTTGGGACTTGGGAGTATGAAAAGAAGGGATGTGAGTTCTAATAGAATTATTAGAAGCTTAGTATTGTACTTTACATTAAACTCTCTTTAATATAAATATATCTGTCAGGGTTCCTTAGAGAGCAACCTTTCCATTATTCTCACATGGTATCAACTATCAAGAGCACATTAATTTTTTTTATCCTCTATCTCTCTACACTCGGCGCCGAGAGCTAACCCTACAGCCGCCACCCTCCACCCCGCAGCCGCAGCATGACGACTCCCTCTCTGCCGTCTTCCGCAGCGCTCACCACCGCCGTCTCGGCGTCGTCAGCCGCGGTCAGCAATACCGCAACCACCGGCGCTCCTATCTTCTATGGAATGCTGTCGGCGATCAGTTCAGGCTCTTCCGGTGTGACGTTCTCCTCCGATTTTGCGTCACCAAATCGGGTCTCCGTGCCACCGTCTTTGTTTCAGACTTCCCGCCTGCTTTTCCTTGGTCTGCGCCTACCCCAGTGCCAGCCGTGCCTCTAGAGCCACCACCTTTCTCGGCCACGACGTTTGCTGGTACCACGTTCGTCGGCTCACCCGGCGTTTCCTCCATCGTGCCTCCTCTTCGCACGCCAGCAGGTAGTCCGACCGGTTCTCTCTTGACATATCTTGCTCAAACTATCTCACATGTGGCGACAAACGTCACCAATATTGTGACCACCAAACTTCTAGCGGTGGAAGACTACACTACTTGGCGGACTCAATTTGAATCGTTCCTGGTCTCTCAAGGTCTTCTTGGCATGGTTGATGGCTCCATTCAGGCACCTCCTGCTTATTCCATAGATGTTCTTAACCGTCAAACTCTCAATCCCGAATTTTCCACTTGGTTAAGAATTGATCAAACAATCCGTTCATGGTTATTTGCAACACTATCTCGGGATGTACTTATCGATGTACGTGATTTAAAACATTCCTGTGAAATTTGGGATCGGTTGGAGTCTCGGTTTATGTCTGCCAGTTTAGCCAGGTCTATGGAATTAAATCGTTTATTCAATCAAATCAAAAAGAAACCTGATCAGTCAATGGATAATTATCTGAAAGAAATTAAATCATTCGCTGATGATCTGGCCACTATCAATTGCCCTGTGACTCCTCGTGAAATATTAAAGACTACTATTATGGGACTGAGATTTGAGTATGAATCTTTATTTACTGCTGTGTCATTATTTGGACAAAATTTTCCGTTTGAAACTCTCCGTAATCATCTTCTTGAGTTAGAGCAGCGGGTTATTTATCTCGGGTCCCAGGAGTCCTCCACCTTCCATCAGGCGTTTGGCGCTGTTGTCTCCTCTCCCGGACAGTCGTCTAGCCAGCAGATGAACAACCAGCAGTCTGGTTCTACGTACCCGGTCGTGCAGCACGCTCACCCGGTCAGGCAGCAGCGGCAGATCGGCACTCAGCAGCGCGGAAGAGGCCGCGGTCGTGGGCGAGGCCGCGGCGGCAGGGGGCGCGGTCGTGGACAGCAGCAATCCGCCCCATATGGCCAGCAACAGGCATATTGGTACCCTCAGAGGCAGTCAGTTTATTTCCCTGGAGGGGGGGTGGTCAGCCGGGTACACATGCAAGGGGTGTGACATCTACGGGTACTGTTATTTGTAATTCTGTTGTGTCACATTTAAATATTCATGCTTTACCTGTTTGTGTTACTAACGGTAGTTCTACAGGCTTGCCATCAGATGGGGGTATTCTTGGGTCTGTTCCCCATCATGTTGTCTGTCAAATTTGCTTTTCTGCAGGTCATTTTGCCATCAATTGCCCTTCTCGTTTCACACAACCGTCCGCCCCCTGCTCTGTTGACTACTCCCGGTGACACTACTCCTGTTCTATGGTTTCCTGATTCAGGAGCCTCTGCTCATATGACTGCATCTGAAGGTATTTTAGTTAATAAATCTCCTTACATCGGCTATAATTCTGTTAGTGTTGTCAATGGTGTCCATCTTCCCATTTGTCATGTTGGTGATGTTGCATTACCTACGTCTGGTCGTCCTCTCACTTTAAAATCTGTTTATCACGTGCCTCAGTTAAAATATAATTTAATTTCAATTAAAAGGCTATGCGCTGATAATAAATGTATTGTAATTTTTGATAATTTTTTTTTTGATTAAGGACAAAGCAACGGGGGCAGTGCTTCTGCGAGCTACCAGTAGTGGACCACTTTATCCTATTAGTCTGCCGTCCTCATCACCATTAGTTTTCGCTTCTGTTTTAGCTTTTGGCCCTGTGTGGCACCGTAGATTAGGTCACTGAGGTGATAGTATTTTACAGTTTCTTAAGAGAGAACGATTCTTATGTAGTCATACTCCCTTTACTCATGAGTGTGTAGCTTGTCGTTTAGGAAAATCATAACGTTTGCCTTTTATGGATGCTAGTCATAATTCTGTTTTTCCACTTGAAATTATTCATTCTGATGTGTGGCAATCACCTGTGTATTCAAATTTGGGATTCAAGTATTATGTGTGTTTCATTGATGATTTTTCTCGTTATACTTGGATTTATCCCATGTGCCACAAAAGTCAGGTTTTTATGCACTTTAAAAATTTTAAAGCTTTAGTTGAAAATATTTTTAATCAGAAAATTAAATTTTTTCAAAGTGATGGGGGAGATGAATTTGTTAATCATAATATGCAGGAATTCTTTTCTACTAATGGTATTTATTTTCGAAAATCTTGCCCTCACACACCTCAACAAAATGGGGTTGCCGAGCGCAAGCATCATCATTTATTTGAGTTAACTCGGACCATGCTTCTTGAAGCTTCGGTTCCTAGTCACTATTGGGTTGATGCCATTTTTACTGCTGCATATATTATTAACATATTACTCTCTCCTACTTTAAATGACCTTTCTCTGCACCAAAAACTTTTTAACCGTGTTCCAGATTACTCCTTTATGCGAGTATTCGGTTCTGCCTGCTATCCAATTTTTTCGGCCACCTCAGCTAATAAATTATCACCTCGTTCAGTTCAATGTGTATTTCTTGGCTATGCATCTGGTTATAAGGGCTATCGTTGTTTTGATCCTATCACAGGTCGAGTCTATGTTAGTCGTCACGTTAGGTTTCATGAGGACACATATCCTTTTAAAACCCTCTCATCTGCTCCATTGCATTCTATTCCTACTACACCGTCTCCTATGCACCTCACCGATATAACTCTTGATCCACCTGCGCAGCCCACTACCACAATCACGCCCGAACTACCTCCACCGCCCCATCCCCTTCTCGATCACCCCTCAGTCCTATCACTCCTTATGTACCATCGCCCTATACATCCTCCCCCGTGCCCACAACCAACCCGCCGCCATCTCCTCCCTCCTCCCGTTACCACACTTCGTCCAGCCTGCCAGATACAGCTTTAGACACAGCCTCGGCCGACTGTGTTTCACCCGAAACCACCTCATCTATGTCCACTACGGTAGTTAATCAGCACCCCATGCAAACCCGCGCTAAGTCAGGAATTTTTAAGCCTAACACATTTTTTAATTTAAGTACAGTTATTACTCCTGCAGATCTTACCTGTTTTACTGAGGCAAATAAACATTTAAAATGGCGTGAGGCAATGGCTGATGAATTTAATGCACTCATTAATAATAATACGTGGAACTTGGTGCCCTTTGATAGCTCTAAGAATATTGTTGGATGTAAGTGGATTTATAAAACTAAATATCATTGTGATGGATCCTTAGAGCGCCATAAAGCTCGATTAGTTGCACAGGGTTTTAATCAGCACGCAGCTATTGATTTCTCTGAACCTTTTAGTCCTGTAGTAAAACCCACCACTGTTCGTATTGTACTTACTCTAGCTATTTCTTTTGGGTGGGTTATACGACAACTTGATGTTAAAAATGCCTTCTTGCATGATCATTTGACAAAAGAGGTTTATATGCGTTAACCCCGTGGTTTTATTCCCCCTCAATTTCCTAATCATATATGTCGTCTGCGCAAGGCCATTTATGGCCTTAAGCAAGCTCCACGAGCATGGTTTCATAGATTCAGTAGTTTCCTTCTACAATATAATTTTTCCTGTAGTAAATCTGACAATTCTTTATTCATTTACCGCCAGAATAATACCATTACTTATTTATTATTATATGTGGATGATATTATTATTACAGGCAATTCTGAGTCGTCTGTTACCCAATTTATTTCGATTATCTCTAATCATTTTGCTATGAAAGACTTGGATAATCTCCATTATTTTCTGGGTGTTGAGGCTATTCGTTCAGCTAAGGGTATGTTTCTCTCTCAACATAAATATGTTACCGATCTTCTAGCCCGTTTTCATCTCCATACTGTAAAGCCTGTTCGCATCCCGTTAGCT